GGTTCGACACTTACTTTTTAAGGTAAGATAAATAAATATTATTATAATACATTTCTATCTATTTAGATATATTATCATCATTTATTAGTGCTCGTAAGTTCTTGCATTTGCAAATTAATCTTGCAAATTTGTAATCAATGACATAAAATTCCATTTCAAGGTACCCTGGTTAAATATAACATTTTTTATATATGTTACCTATAGTTTATTTATAATTTATCTATACAAAAACTGGTTGTGGATTTGATTCAAATTTTTTTTTACTTTTAAAAAAGAAATTATTAACCATGAAAGACGAAGAAAAACATGGAATCTTAATTTTTGATGAAATTTCTTTAAGAGAAAGCATAGAAGTCAATACCAATTGTTTAACTTATACTGGATTAGATGATTTTGGAGAAGATGCAGACATACAACATTATGGGGAAAAAGCTAATCACGGATAAGTTTTCATGTTTCAAAGTTTACCCAGCAACTTTTTATAGCCAATAGCCGTGTTTACATCTAAAGGGAATGTTAAAGGTTACAATTTAAATTTAATTGACACTTGTGTGAAATACTATTTTGAGAATAATGAAAAGTTTTGATAGGAGTAGTTTTTAGTTGGTTTAAACAAAAAATCATATATTAGGTATTATGTATCATATAACACATTTTATCTCTCTATTTCTATTATAGGTATCATATTAGCTCAACTTGTTGTAAAATCAATAGTAATCTTGGAAAATGTTGGTGCTAAAGTTGATGCAATTGTCTGCGATGGTACAGCTACAAATAGAAGGCTTTGGGCAGAATTTGGAGTTAGTGGTTCAAAAAGTAATTTTAAAAACTTATTTTCACACCCAACAAATGAAAAAAGGAAAAATTTTGTATTGTCTGATGCTCCACATTTAATAAAAAATGTTCGAAACCGGCTTCACGATAAAAAAATTCTTAAGGTACAGAGTTATTAGTTATATAGAACCTTTAATTAGTTCAAAGTTAAATTATACTGAATACTCATCAGTAATCACACAGTTTAAACTAGATTTGACTTTCAAACTAATACGATTATAAAATGATTTTACTTATTTGCTATATTAGGTTAGTTTGGAAAGACAGGCTGTAAAATGGAATGACTATATTGAAGTTCATAATCAAGACAAATAACAATTGGCAAATAAACGTGTATGTCCAAGAATAACTGAACGTCACTTACATTTAGATACATTATCTAAAATGTCAGTCAAGTTAGCTACACAGGTATTTCTAAGATGTAAATACTTGATACAGTTAATTTTATTTTAATAAATCAATATTTCAATAAAAGGTATTTAGTGAATCAATGGCAAATGGAATTAAATACTATAGGGAAGTGCAAAAATTACCAAATCTTAAAAATAATCAGGAAACAGAAAATTTTACAGTTATTTTAAATCAATGTTTTGATGCGCTGAATAGGAAATTCCACGCAGAAGGCATTAAAAAAACAGTAATGATTTTAATGTAAGTTATAAGTTTTGTATCAAATTATTCAATTATATGTAAATATTTGACACCTACATGAATTAACTAATAATGATTAGATACTCGAAGCCACAATAAAATGGTTAGATGATTGGGAAAAGAATAAGACAGATAATACAATTACAAAGGAAGAATATTTAACGGTAAGTACATCAGATGGTTTGAGAGTGACTCTACATTCAACAATAGAGTTAACCAAATACCTATTAAATGATTGTAATTTTTCATATGTGCTAACTAATAAAATGAACCAAGATAAACTTGAGGTAATTAATATTAAAAACTTTTATTCAGATTTGGTTTTACATTATAATTAATTATATAAAATTGTTTTAGTTATTTTTTGGAAAAGTTCGCCAGGCGACTGGTCCAAATGACCACCCGACAACGCCTACTTTTTTACAAGTCCACAATATGTTATCTTGTTATTCAATTTTAAAACATCCCAAAACCGGGAATTGTACAATTTTGGAGACAACAGATAAACCAAAAATTACAATGACAGATATTAAAGATATATTTCAATCCAAAGAATCTGTTAGGAACAACAAAATTGAAAGTTTAAAAAAGCGATTAGACAATTTGATAAAAGAAGATAGATGGGAAGTAGAAGATATTTTTAGTGATCATTATTACTGCATTGCTTCAACTAGAGATTCTATCACCTACTATATATGTGGTTATTTGTGTTAGCAAATTAAGAAAAGAACTAGTTGTAAAATATGTTTCAAAGCAATGAGAGAAGGTAAAATTTAAAAGTTAGGTATTAAAAGTAAAATATATAATATAGTTTTATAAAAATAATTATTTAATATGTTTCAAAAGGAGATGATTCAATTTCAGAAGCAGCGTTGACAAGTATTAAATCAAAAGGAAGATTAATACATCCAAATAAACAAATATATTCTTTTATATCTGCCTTGGAAGAAGTATTTGAAATGTTCTGTGAAAGTTTCAATGTGTTTGAAGAAACAGTAGATTATTTTCTAGAACACAAAACAAATCTATTGACTTTTCCTCGCGAGTCCCACAAAAGTGAAATTTTGACATATATTATTACTTACTACTTAACCATAAGAATGAGACAATATTCACAAATGACAAATCAAAACAAATCAAAGTAAGCTCCAAAAAGAAGAAATTGTCAAAGTTGGTAAAAACATAAAATGAACGTAACAAATGTACATATTTTTTTTTATACTTATAAAAACGTCAAAAATTGACAGCTATTAGAGCTAATTAAAATTTAAATCATTATTAAACTTACTATTAATTAGCACCACGGTATTATTTATTATCATTTATCACTAATATCACTAATATCACTATTCTATGGTGTTATCCTAATATCCTATAATAAAACGTAGTTCGTACTACTAACAGGCAGACTGCAGTTACATCGCATGTGCACGAACCCCGTACAACTTTGTGTCCGTGATTTTCTTCGTAGTGTCCAGTCCTGTGTAGTAGTTCTTGTGCTACGCACTTATCCTTGTAATAAAAGGTTTTTAAAAATAGTTATTGATAATGACACCAAACGCGCTGTAGTCGTATTTTAATATTTTATTCCATTGACATACAATTTTTATACCATGATATTTGGGAGTTTTGGGTATTCCCAGCATTTTATTAATTTTGCATTATTGCTTTTACAGTTTTAAGTCTTGTTAAATCATTTTCAATTTTATTTTTCGAATTTGTCGTCTTGCACTTGTCTCTCACTTTTGTGACTTGTTCTTTTTTTAAAACTTGATTTAAAATATTGAATTTATAACATGGTCTCGAATAAATGTTCAATAATTGGTTGTAAAGATTCAGCGAAAAGGAAACACACCTTTCCAAAAAATGAAGATAATCCGAAAATATGGGTATAATGAAGAGGAAATCCGGTCTTCGAAAATCTGTCGGTAGAAGCTGTTCGAAGAAAGTACCAAATTTGTAGTAATTATTTCGATAAATGTTGTGAATCATCTGGTACGAATCAAAAACTAAAGCAGTATTCGCTGCTTACATTAAACCTACCTCGTAAGTTATTTTATTTTTTTTTTTAGTTAATATTCTTTTTGCATATTATTTTCATTATTGCATATCATGATTGTGTATAAATGCATAGGTATTAAAAAATAAGTTATGCCAAGTTAATACACACTTTTTATGAACTTTTTATAAGATTAAAAAAAAGTTATTTTTTTTATATAATTTATTCCCAACCCACTACACAATTATAGACTTCAGTGTTTATACTTTATACAGTATTTTCATATATTGACAAGAAGAAGAGTAAGAAAAAATTGAGCAAAGTAATGAACATAATACCTAAAATACAATCATCCTTCAGTAACCAATAAGTAAAAAATAACAGATTTTAGTTGTAATCAAATTAAATAATTAGAAATGTAAAACAGGTAAATACAGAAAATAGTTTAAAGTTTGTGCTAAAAATTGTAGTATTTTCATGTTCTCTTGTTCTCTACAAATTTATTATCTCATTACCTAGTTAAATATTGTGCTTACATAATATTGGCTACAACACGATTGCGAAAATTTTCCTTTTTTGACCCGACTAATTACACCACGATTGCGCAAAAAATTGGCAACACGTTTGCGCCCCGATCCCTTTTTACCTGTTAAAATCGCAACACCATTGCGCACTAAATGATAAGTGTATATACTGTAAATAATAATTTATATACAACATAAAATAATGTATACATACAATGCATACTTTCTATAACTTGCATATACATATTACATTTACTCAAACTTTAAATTCACAAAATGTACTTTTTCAAAATGAAAATATATAGTATTATAAATTATATTCAAGTCAATATACTCAATATTATTTGGTTGTTGATATTATATTATTATTAGGTAATAAGTTTAAGTCATAGACCTAATAACTAGTTATATGGTTCAAGTGCATGTATATGAAAATGTAGTGAATGTATACATTATTTTATGTTGTATATAAATTATTATATATAGTATATACACATATCATTTGGTGCCCAATGGTGTTGTGATTTTAACAGGTAAAAAGGGATCGGGCGCAATCGTGTGGCAAATTTTTTGCGCAATCGTGTTGCAGCGCATAATATTATTTGGTGATAAAAATAATTGATAAAGACCATACCCTTACGCTGCCATTTTATTTTATTTGATAACAATATTGGCTATATGCAATAACCTTGTATATTTTAGCCATGGTATTATGGTTAAGTTATTATTTATATAAATGTACTATTTAAAAATGTTGTATTTAATACATTGCAGCTTCAATCGGAGAGTCATCACTAAACTGGTCAAGCATAAGCCCACCAAATCATGATAATGGTAAGTAAATATTACATAATTAATGCGCAAAACAGAGAAGAGAGGTCATGAGGGATCACTTCAAGACCTCGAGGGGTCTAGCCCTCATCGAGAAGCCCGACTAAGGCCGTGCCATGGAGTGTGTAGCGGCCCACTCCGCCTCGTGACACTTCATAAAAATGGGTGACTTCTGCCGATTTGTGGACTGGAGGTTTGTCCACAGGGCCAGGCTTAACCTGGTGCCGCAGAATGGGTCGTTCTCATGGAGGACTGGTAACCGCCGCTGTAGACGATGCGGGCACACAATAGAAAGCCTCGCTTACGTCGTCAACCATTGCATGCAGTATACCAGCCTTTACATGGCGAGACACAATGCGTTGGTGGCCAGACTAAAGAAGGTGGCCGAGAGGAAATTCACAGTGATCTCCGAGAACCAAGTGATTGGCCCCCAGTGCCTCAGACTAGACTTGGTCCTGAGGAGAGGGAATGCCACCCTCATCATCGACGCCACGGTCCCGTTCGACAACCGGCTGAAGGCCTTCAGGGACTCAGTGGACGAGAAGCTGTCAAAGTACGAGGAGCTGAGGAAGGAGATTGCTGCAGACGTCTCCAGTGAAGTTTCGATTGACCCCTTCATCGTCGGCTCCCTCGGTTCCTGGGACCCGGCCAATGATGCGCTGGCGAAGCAGCTTACGCCAAGCTGCTGAGGAAGTTGTGTGTCAGTGACGTCATCAGCCTCTCCCGTGACATCTACACGGAGCATATCAGCGGGGTACAACTGCGGTGACCCGGCAGCTGCAGTTTCCTTTCATAAATTGGAAAAAATTGTTTAAATTTAAATTATTTTTATTATAGTTGCATCTTGATGATCATGCTGCTTATATGCTGATCTAATTATTCATGTCTTCCACCACAGTTATGTATCCTCCCACCTTTGATTACCCCCATATATTGTCAGCCACCATAAGAATTTTTAAATATAACTCTGTTCTTATCAGCTCAACTTGCTTTTTTTGTTTCCAAGGCGTCGTGAGTGAAACCCGACGCCCTAAAAATACATAACCGGGTTAACTGGTGAGACAGGTCCTGCCTAACATACGCTGTTGATCTAGTCGGTTCCAGAGAGTGGAGGGCCGTGATCCAGTGTCGATGGGTCCGTTTCAGTGCGCCGATGTTTCCAAACGACTTGGGAAATTCGAAAACACGGCGCCTGGCGACGACGGGCTCACATATCGGCATTGGAAAAAATTAGATCCAGAATGCACGGTCCTAACTGAGATCATTAATATGCGCCTCCGTCACAAGAAGATCCCACCGGTCTGGAAGATATCGGTGATGGTGCTTATTTATAAAAATTGAGCGGAGTAGGACCTTGGGAATTGGCGGCCCATCTCACTTAGCCGAACTCTATACAAATTGTACGTGGGATGTGTCGCCGGCCGGCTGACAGAGTGGCTACTGTCCAACAAGGTCCTCAGCCCCTGCCAGAAGGGATTCCTGCCAGCGGACGTCGCGTTTGAACACGTCCACACTCTTAACCGAGTGCTGGAGAAGGCCAGAACCCACGTGGCGGATAAGTGCGTGGCCTTGCTGGACGTGTCAAACGCGTTTGGCGCGATCCCCCACCCAACTCTTGAAGCGGCAATTTACAACTGCGGGGCGGGTGAGGACATCTTTCTGGCCGTCCGCGATATCTACACCGGGGCAACTTCATCAGTTAGTGCAGCAGGAGGGATGACGGGTGATATCCCGGTCCGCTCCGGCATTAAGCAGGGGTGCCCGCTGAGTGGATTACTCTTCATCATGGCCATTAATCCAGTCGTGGCACTCCTGCAGGGCGAGTCCGTCGACCATGGGGTGCTGGCGTTCGCTGACGACCTTTATAGCCCTTTATATCCCCAGATACGCAGACATGATGAGGAAGCTGTGCATCAGTGAGGTGGTTGGATTCACCAGGGATATATATATTCAACACCTCACAGACATTCCGCAGAGATCGTTGGACTGACAGTCAGATTAATACACACTAAGCATTAAAATTGTATCTTACTTACATTTAATGTCCAAAATTAGTAACCCCCTTCTTTTAATGAAACCCCCCTCCACATTATCTGTATCACCATAAACTATGAATAATTAAACTCTGTTCTTATTAGCTTAACTGCGTCCGTGACTTTTTTTCCCAAGGCATCAGAGTGAGAACTCGACGCCCGAAAACAAAAACGACGCAGGGCGGGTTACCAAGATTCAGCCTAACATATACTTTTGGTCTGAAACCGTTGGTCTCGAGCTATAACTCGATCACATTTGTGAATTATCTGTTCTTGTCAGTGTTCTGTATTTTTGTTGGTGTGTGTTCTTTTTCCCTACCAGGCTTAGGCACTCGTGCCGCGCCTTGTGCTGGGCCAGCATTCGGAAAATGGTATAATACTTACCCGGAGGTCGATGTGGGAACTAGCGCGTATATTACAGGGGTGGCCAGGCCATCATCCTGGCCCGTAGTGCAGTCTACGTAAAAAATAGTCAACCGGTGGTGGCACACCTAAAACGCACGCGTCCATGGCCCAAGTACGTCTCGCCATACTCGGCAAGGCACGTGCCGCAATCCACGTTGAACTATGAGGTGCAATAAATTTATCTCAAACCGGATCACAAACGCACACACACTGTGCGAGTTCTGGCCTCTGCCCTCATGCGTCCATGAGCAGGAGGGTGACCCGGCAGACGGCAGCAGCAGCCTACACCAGTTCCAGTAAAATTCTCGAACCGTCCACCTGAACTGATGCTGCCCCAACGCCGACCACCACGATTACGAGACCACTTTCCAAGACTCCGCCTGTTACAGCCTCGCAGAGAAGGACGAGCAGCTAGCCGCCGACCAGACAACCTAGACCCAGCAGAGTTGCCGGCCCTCCCTCCCAGAACATCATGGGCACAGTGGCTACGAGAAGGCAACCGCGGTTTGATGGTGAGACGCTGGTGTACTTCTTTCCTCCTCCAGCCACGATCGCTTGCCCACACACCAACTGCTCAGCGAAGTTCAGGGCCGAGGTTTAGACCAGTGCTGAGCATTCGCTAGGCAGGCATCTTCTATTGCTACACCCGCTGCCTGGTACCGACAACGACGGTGGTGAAATGCACAGGCTGCGACGCATTGTTGGGGTTCAGACCGGGCAGTCACAAGTGCACTGTGCCGATTGTTGATGCCGGTGACGTAGCCGACAGGTTTGCCTGCATCATAGTCGGATGCACCCACACGTACCCCTCGAAGCAAGGGCTGGCCAATCACGTGCGAAACCACCAGTTTCGGGCTGCAGCAGACGCAGCGCATGTACCGCTACCTCGGCCGGCAACTAGGCAACGCCTTCGGGTGGATCCATCACCGAGAGTGTTCAGGGGAGGCGATACTATTAGACCAGTAATCCCAAGAACTGCGGCTGTTTCTGAATGGTTCCACTTCGGGCTCGGAACCCAGCATGACCTCTGCGAACACTGTCTTGTGTAATACTTCCTTCGATGTATCAGATGCTCACAACACGGGAACGCTGCCCACAGCGGCTTCGTCGACGGCTGCCTTCCCGGATCTTCCTCCAGCTAGTGCTGATGTTAATAACACGGTCGAGGACGATGACCACGGTGGCTTAGAGATATACCCTGTTGTCTAAGAGGCCGTCGTATCGAGTCCTGGCAACGAGGAGCCTCTCCTGGAGACTATTCCTCTTGTCACTGTTGACAATGACGACATTTCATTGGTGTCAGACGGTTCCACGATCGAGGACGATGATCATGGTGACATCGAGGTGGACCTGGCCGAGGACGAAGCTGGCATTTCGAGACCTGGCAACCAGGACCTAAATACCATACTCTCTCCAGATGACACGACAACTATCCACGCTTTCCTCTTTGATGCCCGTGTGATTTCGAGGGCACCGATTAGTGACAACACCTGGAATTTTTTCTGCACGTTGCTCGCCGACATTATGACCGAAGCAGTCAAGGTTAGGTTACCGACTAGTGAGGCCCCGCAGCCAGCGGGGCGCGCACCCTTCGACCAGGAGGACGCACGGAAGCTACAGAAGCTGTACATGTGCAACAGACGGCAAGCGGTGAGACTGATATTGTCTGGCGAGAGTCCGAAATGCGCCATACCGGTTGATAGAACGGAGCAACATTTCAAGGAGTCCTAGGGCCCATCGTCTTGCGACTCAACCATTTATCCCCCAAATCGACAGCGAGCCAGTCGACCTCCTCCCGTTCGAGGCACAGGAAGTTTGCAAACGGCTGCGGAAGTTTGAGAACACGTCGCCGGGGGATGATGGGTTGACGTATGCCCACTGGAGAAGGCTCGACCCCTCTTGCAGCCTCCTCTCCGTGCTTTTATATAAGGGTCTAAAACACCGCAAGATACCTGACTCTTGGAAGGCCACTACAACAATACTGATCCATTAGAAAGGCGACTCAGACGTGATCTCCAACTGTAGACCAATCGCCCTTTGTCGTACCCTGTACAAATTGTACACGGGCTGCCTCACCAGCCGATTCACACAATGGCTAGTAGCAAAGGAGGTTAGAAGTCCTTGCCAGAAAGGCTTTTTGCCGGCAGACGGCGCCTTCGAGCATGTTTACACACTCCAGCGACGCCTCGAGATCGCCAGCACTCGGAAAAATGACTGTTGCGTCGCGTGGCTGGAAGTCTCGAACGCGTTCGGTGAGGTCCCGCATGACGCGTTGATTCCGGCGCCTCCTCTAAATTGATAACGTCAAGTGGTATTGCGAACAACATATTCATCAGGTCTAGAATAAGACAGGGGTATCTGCTCAGCGGCCTGCTGTTCATCCTAGCGATTGCCCCATGGTAAGGGCCGTCCAGGACGGCTCTGAGGAGCACAGAGTGCTCGCCTTCGCTGACGACCTTTGCTCGCTCGAGGAAAGCCTGGAGAACCTGCAGGCCAAAATCAATACTGCGGACGTCGAGTTACGAAGACTGGGACTCAGAATTAACTCCGGCAAATACGCCTCCCTTCACTTGTCCAGAAGGCCGCTAATTGGAGTCCGTCAGTCGACGGTTAAGATCAGGGATCACTATATTAAACCATTACAGGAAGGTAAGGCTGCTTCGTTCCTGAGAGCACTAGTTGGGTTTAATATCGTCAACCACATGGCGTCCCTTGAAAAAATCACTGACATTGGGCTGGCCATTTTACGCAGCAAGTTGGCGTCATGGCAACGTCTTGGCGCCATAAAGACTTATGTTTTTCCGTCAACGGTTCATTAGACGAGAATGGGAACCTTCCTGAAAACTACATGGGAAAAGATTGATAAAATAATAAGACTGGAAGTTTAGGCAACATTATACGTTCCGCAAGAAGCCGCAGGCGATTACCTGTATGGAAGTACCGGAAAAGGGTGCGGATTAGGCTGCTAGCGGAGGACTCAGACATCGCGGCCGTTGACAGCGCCTTCAAGTTGCTATCCTCTCCTGACATACGAGTGGCCACGGACGCCAAGGACCACGTGTTCGCAACCACGCATAGTCGGATTGGCAAAACCTCCGTCGGCCAAAGAGGTCGGGCAATACCTTTTGGGAGAAGAGGGGGGTCCATTCAGTTCAACCAGAGGTACCGGTGTCAGAGGCTTGTGGTCCCGCGCAAGTATGGTTTCGAAGCGTCTGGATGTCCTGTGGAAGATAGTGAACGACTCAGTGAAG